AAGAGAAGAGAAGAGAAGAGAAGAGAAGAGAAGAGAAGAGAAGAGAAGAGAAGAGAAGAGAAGAGAAGAGAAGAGAAGAGAAGAGATAAATAGATAATACTGAGAAACACAAGACTAGTTTCAAGACAGCTACGGCTTCTGGTTTCTTCAGAAGCCCACTTTCCTAACTAAAGGGTCAGGTCTGGGTCCAGCATCATTTCATGAGCCCTTTACATCCCTGCCTTTGTCTTTCTGCAGAGAGAAATCCTTCCCAGACTTCTTCTGCAGAAAGACACGTTGGTTAAAGGTTTAGATACCTAGCCTGTTCGGGCTCTCCCGGCATTGGACCGAACCAGGATAACTTCTGTGGTTTCGTAAGTCCAGTGAGTTTCTGAGCAAAGAAACTCGTCTTAATTGAGCATCTACCATTCGCAGAGCAGTACAGAGGCTCAAAGATTTGAGGTGGAGTTCATGAAGCTGAGTTCATTCCCATCACACTACGCTGCTTGGGCTACGCTGTCCCCAAACCACTGAAGACACACACAGTGAAAGCCTTAGGCTTTGTAGAAAAAAATACGATTTGGGTCTGCCTGGTTTTCATAGCCCACCTATCGCAATTAAACACCTAACTCTGAAATAGACCCATCAGATTGGTTGCCTATCGGTGTCGACAGCAGAGCCTCCTTCCAGCAGCCATGGAACCAAGGTCAGGCTGCGGTGAATCAAGAGGAGTCTGGGTGTTTCTGGAAGACGAAAGAACACATCGTTTTTGCTTGCTTTTCCGAGACTCTATTGAGAAAGGAGAGATATATCAATTTAAAGAAATGTTCTGGTTTTTATTTTGATGTTTTTAAGGCTGAAAGATGTGAACACATGCTTAAGCTAGAGGGAAGTTTCTTAAGAAAGAATCAGGATGAAGGTAGAAAAGTAATAGAATAATAGTGGAAGTCACAGTAGTAAATACATGTAAAAATTACTGTAGAAAGCATTTCTCTGAGAACTTGACATGCTTAAGTCAATTTACTTCACTCAAGAACCTTGTGCCCTGGACATGGTGGTGCTTGACTGTTGTCCCAGCACTCAGGAGGTGGAGGCAGAAAGATAACAGGTCGAGGCCAGTTTGATCTACACAGGAGACCCTGTTGGGTAATAGCCTCGTGTCATGAGGAATTGAGTCAGGCTGTCCAGAGCAATAGCTCCTAGTCATAAAGAGTTGCTTGGCCCCAGCCTGACCATTCCACTCTACCTGCAAGAGCAAGATGCCCAGGTATTGAAAGCAACCCTCCACCCCCACCCTGGCTTCCAGCAAGCCACAAAACAACAGCTGCAACTTCCTGGTAGCTACTTAAATGTGTGTGTGTGTGTGTGTGTGTGTGTAGATACATGTTCTCAACCCCACTAAGGCTGTCAATAAAGCAGTTTCAACCTGTTGAGATCAAAGTTGCCTGCCTCTGTGCCTCTCTTTCTTTAAAGACTCCTCCCATTAGAAATAATACCCCCCCCCCAATTAACCTCATGAAAAGACTCTAATATTATTCTGATTATACAGATGAGGAAAGTAAGACAGAGGTCACACAATGTTAAGTCCCAACACTGAAAATAGGACCCAGATAATTCAGAACCCAGATTCTCAACAGTGGGGCACATCAGCCCCTCTGGGGGAAAGCTTTTGAGTAGAATGAGGCACACAAATAATGGCACAGGGTCCTGAAGAAGAAAAGACACACGTTTATCTCTAGCAGAAGGCACTGAAGAAAGTCTAAGGGCAATAAGAGGAAAATGCAGAGGAACAAGGAAGACTATCGGAGGTCACGGACCTTGGATAGTGAGGCTTGTGGAAACTGACAACATGACAACTCCATGAGACGCTTAAGGGTAAGGTTTTAATTGTAGAGATGAGAGAAGGAACAGCCAGGGGCATCTAGAAGGGTCCAGAGTGGAGAGAGAAAGTAGAAGACTGAACATGGCCAGCAGACTGGACCTGGTCATGAGAGAAGCAGGAGCCAAGCCAAGAAGTGTGTGTTGGTGGTGGTGAGGGGGGGCGATGTTGAGAGAGGCAGAATGCAGAAGAGCTGAGAGATGGGGAGGAGGGAGACAGTGAAAGAGGGAGAGAGGGGGAAATGAAGAAGTCAAGACAGGAAGACAAAAAATGGGAGCGTAGCAGGGTTATAAGGAGAATGAGCAGCTGTGGAGAGGGAAGTCTGCGAGCCAAAGAAGTTTAGAGCAGAGGAGGAGGTGAGAAGAGCCAGGGTGCCAACATGGACTCTGAAACATGTAACAGGTGTGGTCCTGAGGGAGCCTGGAGGCCAGCATGTGCCTTGGTGTGCTAATAGGCACCACACGTAGCCTTCTGTCCGTCCTGCCAGTGATAGGGAAAACGGCTCCTTTGGTAGAGAGGAACCAGTTTCCCAAGCTCCTGAGGAATGCTGGCTTCTGTCTAAGTGCCAGAATTTGGGGAAAAGGGAGTTTCCTTTGGACCTGACAAGACTTAAGGTCCTTTATGATCGGGAAAGTAAACCCTGCAGTCAGTACAGACACTCAGAAAGCATTACCTCCCTACTTGCTAGAGCAGCTGGTGTCTTCCAATTAATGTACCAGTTACAACTGTGTAGGCAGATGTGTGAAGGGCCCAGACCAATTTAGCAGCAAGTGTGGGTATTCAGTCCCACCACTTGCAGATCCTGGCATGCCTGCTCCGGTGTGAACTTTTGAAGAAATGGTCCAGCTTTGTTTGGGTATGTCTCTGAGGCTGAATGGTGCGAACATATGTTTACGCCAAGGAGAAGTGGGTCTATCCTGAGACCGCACAGCTTGGGAGTCTGATGCTTCCGGTGGAGGGGCTCAAAGCCAACGGAGCAATGAACCCCAAAGAACTGCGGCTGTGCTCGGTGTTCCTAGGAGACGTGAAAGAGCAAATCACTGACCGGTTCTAGACAGGGTGTGTTAGCCAGGCTTCTCCAGAAGAACAGAATTTACAGAACGAGTCTGTATATCTATGGAGATATATAGAAAGGGGTTTCATGAGAATGACTTACAGGCTGTGGTCCAGTTAGTCCAACAATGGCTGTCTATCAACAGGAGGTACAAAAACCCAGTGGTTGTTCAGTCCGTGAGGCTGGATGTCTCAGCTGCTCTTCAGTACATGCTGGAATCCTGAAGAAGTAGGCTCCGATGCCTGTGAAGGGATGGTCTTGCCAGTAGGGCGAGAGCAAGCAGACAAGAAGAGAGCAAGCTTCCTTCATCCGTGCCCTTTATAAAGACTACCAGCAGAAGGTGTGACCCAGGTTAAAGGTGGATCTTCCCACTTCAAAAATCTAGTTTGGAAGTAGGTCTTCCCACTTGAAAGCATTTAATTAAGAAAAAAATCCCACACAGGTGTGCCCGGTCATTTGGGCTTTAGTTAATTCCAGATGTAGTCAAGTTGACAACCAAGAATACAGATGTAGTCGAGCTAACAACTGGGTTCTGGCAAATGTTCGCACATCCCGCAGCCTCCAGTTTGGAGGCTCAACCACGTCTACTGTTTCTTGAAAAGAATTATTGAAAAGGAAGTGCGTTTAAAACACACAATGCCCAACCATATATTTCAGACCCTAAGTAGAGACACACACACACACACACACACACACACACACACACACCCAGTCTGTAACCACAAGACCCAGCAACTCTACAGGGCAGAGTCTAAGTCCACAGAGTAAGACTTTGTCCCCTTAGCAACTACATCAATCATCGGAGTCCCAGGAGCTTCTCGTCCATGACCCTTAGCAGGCCCCAAATTCACTTCCCTAACTCCACAAGAAACTTTGGAGAGCGAAATTCAATTGCATTCCTTTCAAGGGCTTCCTCTCAAAAAATTAACTGGAGGACAAAATATTGTTCTGGATATTTCAGAGCTGCTGAGAGGATCAGGCGAATATCATGACAGGCCCCTAATGACTCAGTTAAAAACAAGGCCTCAGTCCACAAACAAAGGGCAATCAATCACCAACGCCCCTGACAGTAACAGAGGGGAGAATGGCACATACTAGGCTTGGGCTAACCTCCCTCCCCCGACCCCAGGTACCTCAAGGCAATAACCAAATAAGGACAAGGCCTGGGACTTGTCTATACTTGCCCAAGAATGGAAAGGCTACAGCCTTAGCCCACCCCTGCTAGCCCTAACCAATTAGAAATGTACTAATGTGATTGCCACTTGGGCAAGCCAGTCCTAGGTAGAATGATCTCATTGCTTTTAGAATTCCTTTCGATGTGTATAAAAGAACCTGCAAGCATCTCTTGGGATCACCATTCTTGCCTTTGTGTTATATTCATGGCCCCAGCATGCTGGTACTTTCTCGAGATAGTAAGTGCTCTTGCTGATTGCATCGTGTCAGGTAGTCTTTTGTGGGACTTCTCCAGAACCCTAACACTGCCAAGAAGGGACAGAGTCGGAGAGTGATGTTGCTGGAACCATCCGTCTACACAATGCTAACTTAATTCACACCACAAGACTTCATTTGAACTTGACCAGTCAATACCAAGCTAAACGTAGAAGTAGAGGATGTGTGTCCAAGTTAAACTTCTTACAAACACTTTGGGGGGCGGGGGTGTTCAGCAAATTCACCGTCCACATAGGTCTCCAAATGTGCTTTGGGTTGGGTTTGTTTGTTTTTCTCACATTTGCTTCCTGTGTTCCCCTCAAATCTATTGGCTTGCTGAGGAAGTGCCAACAATCCAGACATAAATGGATGCAAATCCCTAAGGCTTCCATGGGAATCTAATGAAACTTCAGAGAATGAAAAAAATTGAAAACCGATACTATGGTAACAGGAAAAGTCCACCAGCCAGTGTGAACCTAGTTACATCCAACTATCATAACCTTGTTTCCATATTTCATCCAGGTATGGTAGGCTATCCAAAAAAAAATGTATGGGGTGGGGAGGTCATACATGGAAGAGTTAGTCACCAGCTTGTGTCCTGCTGGAAGGTAATGGGATCCTTAGGATGTGAGCCCTGCTGGTTAGAAGTCACATCACTGGGATTCAGCTTTTCCCTTTCTCTTTGTTTCCTGGGGTCCATGAGATGAGCAGCATTCTCTCACACTTTTTCCTGCATCACCCTCGGCCCCCAAACCAAGGCACCAACTGACCATGGATCGAAACCTCTGAAACTATAAGACAGCATAGACCTTTCCTCTTCACTGGTGTCTACATCAGGCATTTTGTCAGCGTCAGAGAGCTGACGAACACACTCAACATTCATTAGAAATATAATTAAAATTATGCTTCATAAACCTCAATGATAAGTTTTAAATAAAGACATGTTGACCCAAGTATTAACCAAATGTTTACCAAAGTGCCAGGTAGCTATTAGCTTTTGTTTACATAAAATTTAAAAGTTTAGCAAAAAAAACAATATTTGCCTGTTACCATAGAATGTAATGCATTCTTATTGTAACCCATGCCTTCTAAAGTTGTGTGTACTTATTAAAGAAGGAACAAGAGATATCACTCTGAAATGTCTGCATCAATAGCTTCAACGTCTTTTCATTCATTCTCAGAAGTTATAGACTTAGAAAAGTTTCCAGAAGAGAACTTCATGTGTTCATTGAAGTTGTAGCTTCGTCTATTAGAAGAGATGGATCTTTCTTGGTAGTGTTGTAAATCATTAACCTACCTAATGAGTTCATTTGAGTCTGCTTTTCATAAACAAGGACAGATGGGTAGATAATTGCCATATCCTTCCAAAACCAGTAACAAATGCACAGGCTTTTTCTTTTCTTTTCTTTTCTTTTTTTAATTGAATAGATAGTCACAAGATTTCTTTAAGACCAATGCAAACTCCACTTTTGTGGTAGCACTTCATGTACATTGTAACAGCCCCAATGGAATGACTATTTCATACTATTTATACTATTTTGTGACTCATTTATAGCTAAAGTAATTGGATCAGGAAACAGCTGACTTCATCAGAGACTTCTGCCCTCAGTTGCATGGCTCTCACACTTAGGCACTATATAGACTCATTCGACACAGCTCATACGTCCTCTACGTGAGAGCATTGCTTGCACTCTGGTTTCATCGGGGTAAAGCATAGGACCTCTGAAAACCTGTGTCAGTTGGCCTGTGGTGGCCACATGGTCAGACTACAGTTCACACACACCAGCACGTCCTAACCCCTCAATTCTCATCCTCTTGTTCACATTGTGAGATTGCAAGGATGACGTCAGAAAGTCCTGTCTGTGGGTTTTTCCAGTGGCCGGTAGTTAATGGGTTTTCATGTCACTTCATCAATGAACGAGACCTCAGCTTAGGTGTGGAAAGCCCTTCAGAGACATTCTGTCACTCACTGAATCTCCCCCGGTTCCCTCTCTGTGTGTGCTACAGAGACATGGGGTAGACAGAGATGCAAAGGCCTGTGTGGAGTTTACCCTCTGGTGGAGAAGTGCCATTTGGGTTTTTGTTTTTTATTTTTAGAGTCTCAAGTATCCCAGACTGATCTTGAATTCACTAGACAGCTAAGAACAGTCTTAAACTCCTGATCCTCCTGTGTCCATCTCCTTAGTGATGAAATTACCGGCAGAGTACCATTTGCTTATCCTCGGAGGCTGGCCCTAAGACAAGGATGCTATTTAGACACAGTTACAGCGATACAACATCGCAGCACACCCTAAATCTCAAACGACAGGTTTATCTCACCGTGGATAAAATCAACTTGAACAAGGTCAGAGGAGACTGGGCACGTTCAGGGTGGAGGGCCGTAGACTCGAGCAAGGTCAAGCTGGTGTGAAAAGCCATAGACAGGACAATAGCTACTGTTTTAAAGTTAGTTTGCCAACTATAAAACATAAGCATCTGAGTAAAGTGATCATGTGTTCATTTTTTAAAGCCTGATCATTTCAATCATTTCTACTTTTAACAAACTTGCTTTGAAACTTGGGTTGACATTGTGAGATAAGTTACAGATTATGTTGTTTATTTCCTCAGGTCTTTAAAGTGTGATGTTTGTACATTCACCCTTTGAAGTGCCAGGTCCTGTGAGCTTGTGAATATGAGGTGTGTGCCCCTCGCCACCGTCAAGACGACTATTGACTATTTCCACAAGCCCTCACGCCCCTGTAGCTCATCCCGCTTTCTGGAAAGCACTCATGAAGTCTCTGTCTGCATGGTTTTTGCCAAGAGTGCTTTATAGAGGGGATCTCAGCATGTGGTCCTTTCTCTCTGGTTTCTTTGACGGCATCATGCACTAACATCCATCCCTTACCAAAGATGTTCGGCTCAATGAAATAAACCAGACTCAGAAAGACAAACAACATATCTCCTCCTCTCATCTACAGGACGTATGTGTATGTGCACGTATGTGAGTCTATGTGTGTATGTATGCATATGTGCATGTGTGAATGTTTGTGTGTGGTGTGTGTGTGCGTGTGTGTGTGCTTGTGCACTATGTGTGTGCGTGTGTAAATGTATGTGTGTATGCATATGTGTGTATACATGTGTGTTCACATGTGCATGTATTTGTATGCACAGGTGTGAATGTGCATGTATATGTTTGCGTATGTGTGTATCTATGTGTGTGTGTGCTTGTGTGTATGTATGCATATGTGCATATGTGTGTCCATGCATGTGTATGGTGTACATGTGCACGCACAAGTGTATGTGTGTGTATGTACAGGTGTGAACATGTGTGTTTTTATGTGTATGTGCATGTGTGAATGTGTGTGTGTGTGCACTCACGTGTATGTGACAGGAAAGGAGAAGGACACTATCTCTGGAAAGAGGAAAGGCATCAAGGGAGGGAAGGAGGTCAAGAGAGAAACAGATGTGACTATGATCAAAGTCCATAATTACACAAATTAAAGCGTCATTACAAAATATATGTTATGATGAAGGTATGCTTAAAAAACAGTACAAAGCAAAATAAACTAACTCTGTGTCCTTTAGAACCTGGGTTGTTCCTCCCATGAAGCACCGAGTTGCTTGGTTGTCCACTGGCTCTATCCCCCACCGCCGGGGTTTGCCTCCTAACACTTCCCTACCTCTCACGGAGCAATTGGTCTTAACTAGGACACTGTCGAATCACAGTTGTTATTGAGGTTGAAGAACTGAGTTTTTAAATTTAATTTTAACTTAAACAGCCATATGTGGCTAGAGAATACTGTATATGACCACACACTATAATAGCACCCAAACACACTTTGAGTGAACAATGGATACACGTTATTCAATCACATTTTAAGAACATGTTGTTCCCCAGTGGTTTGGGAATTTGTAAACCTGGTCCTTCACCCTGGATGGTCTGAGCCACCCTGAACCAGACAGGTATCAATCACAGTGTGGGCAAAAGCTCTGTCTTCCTGGCAGCATTTTCCATTCTAAATTCACAAAGCAGCGTTCTGAGGAAGGAAGTGGCTGGTGCAGAAGTAGAGGACTCTTCTAGGCTGGGTGGTTATGCTCAGGGAAGTCTGTTGGAAGCGGTGACCTCTGAGCTGGAGACCAGGTAAGGCACAGGATAACCAAGTATGTTCAGTACAGGAAAGGGTATGGCATTCCGGAAACAGGAAGGAGACCAGCATGGCCAGGTGCTGGGCACAGAGTGGAAGGGTGCTGAGGAATGAACCGGAGATGAAGAAAAGAGCGGGACTTGCATGGCCACACAGACCATGCGTCCTCTTTTCCTCTCCCGTGTATGGACAAGAGTTGGTGCGCACCACCACAGGCCGTGGGTGGCTGCCATGGTTTGAGTCTGAAGTGTGAACCACATCTTTATAGGGTTGAACCCTAGGTGGTAGATATCACAGGGGGTCATGTGTCCTGGCTGGCTGGAAGGGGTGGGTCATTCAGGAGCGGCCATGAAGGCTTATAGCCTGGTCGTGTTTCCGGTCCTGTTCTCTCTGCTCCCTGATCTGCCACAGTGGAATAAGCTACTATCTCACACTCCCTACACCAGGAGCTCCCAAGCAGCATGCCTGACTCTCTCTATCTTTCCTCACCATGATGGCCTGAAACGGTGAGCCGAAATAAATCCTTCCACCCTTAAGTTGCCAACTGCCAGATACTTTGTTACAGTGACAGGAAAAGTAGCCAATGGGCTGTGAGTATCTGCTTGCCAGGGGAGGGGCTAGTGTGCCAGGAATGCCGGAGAACTTGCAGACTCACAGAAATATTTTTGTGGGTTGCAGTGGGACATTATGCCCTCACTCAAAATGCATCGTAAAATACAAATTTTTAAATATCCAACATTTTTGAAACCTAGAAAGGTGAAAGAATAATAATCACCATGAATTCTCATGGGATATTAGTGAGTGGGGTTCCCATGCAACCGATTATAATGCAGGGCTCCAAAAAGTTGTGCAGTCTGCCCAGGCCACACCTATGGAACAGACTCAAGCCATGTCCCTCCCAACCTACCTGCCTGCCTTTCTTCAGAATGAGCCCACAGCAGCCGCCTTAAAACATGAAAATATCTGTACCTAACACTTTGGTTTGTGTAACGATAAATGCTCACACACAAATGTATTCATTTGGGGAGATTTTATTTTGAGAGTCCTTCTCGGTGTTAATTTTTTGAAGCTGCTATAAGACAATTATCACAAGCATAATGGCTTCCAACAACAACAAAAAACTTACTATTTCACAGTCTAGAAACCAAACATTTGAAGTCACGGTGCTGGCAGAGCCTGACCCCTTCCATAGGTTCAGGAGACAGTGGGTTCCTAATGTCTTCCTCCTCTTCCCTCAGAGTGTCCCTTTGAACAATACCAACCACTGAGGTTGCTTTCAGATCGAGCCCCTTGACTTCATTATAGATGCTAAGGCTCCTTCTCAACAAGGTCATGCTCATGGGCTCTCAGGGGCAGAACATGGGCATCTTTTCATGCACCACAGACCACTGAGCCCACCAGCCACGCCATACAATGGTCTGGATCTCTCCAGGCCATGGGCTGGAGAGTCAGCAGGCTGATGTCAGCTGATGATCTTCTCCCGGGATCACCGCCCTGCAACACCTAGCTCATCTGTCAACGTGTTTCATTCAGCAATGCTGCTGCATCATCCTAGTGGTTCAAGGCAGGAGGCAAACCCAATCCTTGTGGCTCCAGCATGGCCAAGAGCAGAAGTTGCACCCACACGTGGAGCTCATTGGAAGATGCACCTTTCCTGTCTTGCTCACGTGTGTGTGCTCAGTGCCTCTAGCAATGACTGGAGCTCAGCACTCTTGCTGTAGTGGTGAAGGAATGCATGGCCAAGTCGATGCGAGGGAGGGGCATCTAAACCCTTCATGGTTCTCTTCCTAGGGGCTGAGTGGTAGCAATGCCTGCCGGTTCAGTGGACTTAAGCTGCCCCTCCTTGGGTATCTGCTACTATAATTAGCAGTTTTCCTTCACGTACTGATTTATTTGATTGTCAGCTTGATGGGATCTAGAGCCTTAGACACCTAGGATGCAAACAGCTGGCCATGTCTGTAAGGGAGTTTCTACATTGGGTTAATTAAGGTACGAAGACCCACCAATTAATTGTGAGTGGCACCATCCGATGGTCTGGGATAACAGATTGAATAAAGAATCGTTCTCTGCTTCCTGCAGATGCAATGTGGCACATTGCCTCAAACCCTGGCCAGCATGACTTCCCTGCCTTGGTGGACTGTACTCTCAAACTATGAGCCAGATAAACCTTCCCTTCTTAAGTTGCCTTTTTCAAGAATTTTGCCACAGTAACGAGAAAAATAATAAACAGAATCCCCAAGGTTGTGCCACATCATTAATATAAGAGATTGGTGCTGGGAAACTTAAGAAATATGAAATATATTTGAGTACTGGGTATTAAGCATATGTCTGGATGTATTTTAAATTTTTAATTGTATTTCTCTGCATGTGTGTGTGTATGTGTTTGTGGGGGGGGTCACATGTATGTGTGGGTGAACATGTTTGCACATAGATGTGGGAGCCAGAGTTGAAATGGGGTGTCTTCCTTGCTTGCACGCCCCTTTATACGTTGAGGCATAGTCTCTCACTTGAAATCAGAGCTCTCTGATAGTCCAGCCACCCAGCTTGCTCCCCAAATCCTGACTCTACCTTCCCAGCACTGAGATTACAGCCAGACTGCCACGTCCACCCACCATTTATATAGATGCTGGGGATCCAAACTCTAAAATGCTAGAGCAAGAACTTGACCCCACTGAGCTCTCTCTCCAGCCTCTGCTTGTATTTTTAAATCAAATGATGAGGAGTATTTTGAAGGAAGGAGCCCATATGGGAAAGGAGAGTGATTAATGACATTGTTGAGTACTTAATAGTACTACTGAGTAATAGTACTACGACGTACTGATTTTATTAAGTGATTGTGATATCATTCATAGATGAGTGATGACATTGTCACTGGGACGGGAGGCCCTTCAAGTTTTATTTTATGGAAAATAAATAATAGGCACCCAGAAAATATGAGGCAAAAGATAAGAAAGGGGTCCTGCCTACAGAAGAACACAGATAATAGGTTAGATCACTCTGTGTCAAAACAATTGTAAGGGCTAAGAATGCAGTTCAGTGCTAGAGCACTTATTTAGTATATGAAGCCTGGGTTCAGTCCCCAGTAACACACACACACACACACACACACACACACAATGATTAATATAGCCACCCTCAGAGAAAAATGATTTATTTCCTGCATTTATTTCCAAATTCAAATATTTGTTAGTTAAAAAGAAAAAAAAAAGGTTTGTCATTATCAGTGACACATAAAATGCCAGGTGATGTCACAATCCCATCACTGCGGGGGGTGGGGGGGACAGATAGGAGAATCCTGGGGCTTGCTGCCTGCCAGCCTAGTCATGTGGACAAGGCACGGGTTTCAGGGAGAGACTGTATCTGGAAAAACAAAGGTGTCCCCAAAGAGAGATCCCTGAGATTAACCTCTGGTCTATACACGCACATATGCACACATGCACATGTACCCACACCCATGTGCACACACACACAGATACAAAGCCCCAAACACACGTGAAATGTACTCATTTTATAAAAACACAAACAAATGAGCTGTAGAGATGCTTTCACATGGCAGTAAAGAGAGCCATCGAATGCAAAAGAGAGCAAGACTTCCCCACCTCGGGTTCTTGAGACTCGCGGATGAATTTGCCATTTTCTCAGCTGCTTCTCAAAGGTGTCCATTTGGTGACCCGTCCGGTTTCGTGCATAGTGCAGTAACACCCACCCTGGTGACTGCAGACTGTTTTTAGTTGGCGGCACAGAATCTTGAGCCTTGACCTACAACCTCGCAAACACCACTCCCCTCCCACAAGTCTCCTGTGTCAGGAGGAGACCACTGCAGGGAGCCTGGAGAAAAGCAGCGCCAGCGCATAATTGCTCAGCAGGGCACGTGGCCTGCAGCCTCCCGCTACAATATTTACGTCCCATTCCATTGAGAGGGCCCCCTCTCTGCTCACGTGACCCAAATGCAGTTCTCACTGCGCCAAGAACAAACAGCCCGAACGCAGTCTGCGCCGGCGGCTCCGCACATGCTCCGTCTGGCCCCGAGAATCCTCACTCACTCATTGAGGTTTCCATTGGTTTAAAAGCAACCTTCCAGCCGCGGAGGCTCGGAGACCTGCAGCGTCTTCCTGGCCCAGATCCAAGGTAGGCACCCCCACGAGGACGGTTTTATTCTAGGATTTGGACTGTTCTATCTGTTTGGGGGGGAGGGGTGTGTAATACTCACACATGAGTATAGATGATGAATGGAGCTCTGGGAGTAACTCTTCCTCTCCACGGTTTTTAGAAGAAGGGTCTTTTTTTATCTCTTTTCAACGTTGGCCTTGAAGGCAACCTGCAGATCTAATGCACACTTAATTCTCCAACAGGAGTCTCAGCCAGCCATGCTGAAGCTGACTGACGTGTTGGCTGCAGCGCATGAGACGGTGTTTTCTCCTCGCCAGAGCCCTGGGTGTTTTTTGCCGTTCTAATGGTAAACGATGAGACAGGCTACCATGGATTTCAGCACCTCACCTGTGTTCGATCAGCAGAAAGGTAGAATGATGCTTTACTACGTTTTTCGGTGCTGAGTACAACAGACGGGATTTCCAGTTGTAAGGAAAGATGTGAGCGTGTGTGTGTGTGTGTGTGTGTGTGTGTGTGTGTGTGTGTGTGTAAACCTGTTAAGAATGTTCTCCTCTAACTTGATAAGCTTTTAGGAAGAGAAAAAACAAGCATATGGGCTTTCTGTCTTGCTGACATATTCCTAGCCCCATTTTAAAGCTTGGGTTTTAAGGCATACCGGCTAATCTACCTAGTGTCATCTTTATGCTATGTCTTAAAGCATATTAGAAAAAGTGATATCCGAATACATCCCATGCCTCTTTCAGCCTGTAAATCTCGTATTTTGTCACTACAGCCTTCACGAGAGACTGTGGATTCCCCTCCAGGAAAGACATGAACCACAGACAGACCATGCTGACATAATAGCTCATTCAAGGCTGTGCAGTGACTTAATACTGTATTATTTAATTGCGATGACAGAGTATTTTTTTCTTACCCTTCATTTGCATAAAGGAGGTCATCTTCCACAGGAGAAGTAGGCTGTGAAATTAATTCGTCCTAACCGTCATCCGACATGCAGCCGTTCAGTCTGTGTGTGTGATTCTGCATATGCTGTGTGCCTCCACGGATCTGTTGGTCATCTGTGTAATTCTTCTGTGCATGGTGGCGAGGGGGGGGTAGTTTCCACTCTTTAAATCTAACAGACATTTCTACAGCCTTGTTATGAAATAGCTGGCGTCTAACCCCCTCTTTACACCGAGATTCTTCAAGATCCTTTGACGGTGTCTTTCTTTCAACTACAGCATGAAATGGTGGCTTGGGGAAGCCTCATTAGGAAAATCCATTTCTTCTTTTTTTTCCCCAAATGCCGCTGCTTCAGGCCAGTGTTGCCTCCCCTGGATCTATATCGGGCTTCATGAGCAAATGATGTTTGCTCAGTGGGGTTCTCAAATAACTTAGATTTCGGAGGCAGCTGGTCGATAGAGTCTTCTCCAAGTCTTATTTGGGGTGGGGAGAGAGAGAGAGAGAGAGAGAGAGAGAGAGAGAGAGAGAGAGAGAGAGAGAGAGAGAGAGACTTGACAACATCTTGATTCACTTTGAGTCTGGAGACAGGCATTGTAGGGAAGAGCTTTGTCTAGTTCCCCTGACCACCCCCTTTTCCTCCCTGTACATTTTGTTCTACTGATGTCGATCAGTAGATGAGAACTCTGCTTAGAATCAAACTGCTCATTTGCTGGCCAGAGAACAGTGCTGCTGAGCCATGGAACCACACAGACACACAATGGGCTTATTTGGGGGACTATTTTGAGGGAGCAGGGGCTGATTACAGAACAAGTCCTTCAAAATGAAGCCATCTGTTCCAATGTGGTGCTTTCTGTGTGGAGTGAGCTCAGGACATACCTAGGTGCTGGTTTAGAGTCTCTTCATGCAGCATGATTTGTGGGTGCCATTCACAGCAGCTCCTCTACCTGATTTGTCCCATAATATTAACCCTTTCCTTGCTCTCTCTGCCTGTCTCACTCCCATCTCTCTGAAATTAGTACTCATTAAAAATTGTCCCCAAGTCTAAATTGGAAACAGAGGCTCCTACAGTCGCCGCTCTGAATGGCATATCAGTTTAGCGTTGCAACCTTAGCCTGTTACCTAACCTCTCTTGGCTTTCATTTCCTTAGCAGGACAATGATGGGGATGATGTTTATGTAGCAGGATCATTACAAAAATCCAAAATGATACTTAGGGAGCGCTGGCCAGATTACTGAGGTGCCGCGTTCTCAAATCATGGCTGCTGCTGCTGCTCTTGCTGGGTTTAGTACCACCTGATCTTCTCTTGACCTCCTCTTGGCCTCCAGTTTAAAGGTTCCCATCCTCAGTCAGGGCACTCAGTCGCTGCTGGGTGACTAGGTTACATTCCATTTACTGTTCAGAACTGCAGGGGGCCACTCAGAGTAAGTTCTGAGAGACAATGAACTGAAGCAAGGCCCATGTAGTTCTACTACCCCACTGACCCCCCCCCCCTACCTTAAAAGCATGGGAGAGCCCAACAGGTTTTCAAACCTGAATAGATCTCACTATTATGTCATTTAGCAAACGGTGGTAAAAGGACTGGAAAGCTGAGTGTGATCACGTCAGTTTGATATCTGGTATTAAAGTGGGAGTGTGCTTCGATCACTCTGGGCATCGGCCTGGTGTTGCAGTATCTCCAGGAGTGGTACACCTCTTCAGGGGATCTTAAAGAATAAATAAATAAATGAAAATGGGCTGAGTGTGGAACTTGAGGGAAGGATTTTACTACGGATCCTAACAATCAGAGAACAGAGACAAACAGCACCAGATTCACGGGCATATGTGGACAAAGACATTTCTTCTGGAAGAAGCTTACATACATACGTTTTAGAAACTTTCTCTAGGGACATGCAGACAAGTGTTTACCTCCTCCTTATAGACCACCATGGGCTGGGAGAACCAATGAATTTCTTGGATTTGCTTACAGGGCAAAGATGAAGAGTTGCAGGATCATGAGTGACCCCCCCCCCCCCAGAAGCTGCCACACCACCACAAAATATCTCACGCCAACATGGATGATAACTTCTCTATCACTGCATAGATGGAGTCCTCCTTTACTGAACCAACCATAGCCTGTATGTTCTAGTACCTCCCAGGACCCCCAAGACCACATGCAGTTATGGTAGAATTACATACAAATGTCTGGACGTGTGGGAGAGAGTGGACAGCATCTAAGACAAGACTCCAATGATCCCCCCAATCCCTCCTTCCTGAAGGAGTGTTCACAGTCAACAGGCTGCTTCTTGAGGGTCTCCTACAAGCATCCACAGCTGCTCTGATGAAAATGGCAGCTGTTAGGCGCAGAGGATAATGTTCTACAGTGATGTTACACAGCCCACTGGGTCTTGAACTTGGCTGGACAGGAAATAGGCTGAGAGCTGGGGAGGCATTGAAAATGGCGATGCCTGCCTCCCACCTGTGGAGTTTTCAATCAGACGGGTATGGATATGGCTTTGTCCCCACCCCCGGGGTGTTCCAATAGGAAGCAAAGACTGGAAACTGCTCGGTTCATCCCCCTAACATTTCAAGAGGAATAAGTGAGGCACAACAGAGCAGCTCGAGGTAGCTCTTGCAATAACCACAATAATCTGCCTGCTACTAACAGAGAGGACCCAGACCTGGGCGCTCCCTATGCAGGCAACATAGCAATGGTAAGCTTCCAATTCCTCCAGCTCTCTGGCCTGGCAACTGCTGGAGGTAAGCACAGCCCAGAACTCAGCTCGTGGCTGGGCAGAGACTGGGGGAGCCGCATGCAGGGCTCTAAGGAGGGAAAGCTCTATGACTACATTTTTTTTTCTACAAAGTCTTGTCTCAAGCCCCTATAGCCGCCCGAGCCGACGGCTCTCTTTGGCTTCAGTCTCCTCTCTCACGCGCTGTAGATGGTTTTGCAGATCTATGAGGTCTCTGTGGGCTTCAGGACCAGGTTATCTGACTGGCCCAGATTCTGGCTTGCTTTGTCAACTTTAGAGGGAGAAAGGCCAAGTCTGCCAGGCTCCCTGCTCCTGTGTCTTGTGCTTTCTGTTCTCACCATAGCAACAGCTCTGATCCCACGTGTTCCTCCTGGCTGGCTTCCCTCTCGAAGCCCACATGCAAGACAGAAGCGTAGTAAAATGATTTACTACAGAACCCAGAGGTTCCTGCTCCAGTCGACATGCCCCGTAACTGGGGGGAATCTGCATTTCCACCTCTGCCCCAACTTATAGAAAGAAAAGGAATCCCTGGCCTCAGAGAGAATAGGAGACACACTCTCTATGGCCTCCTTCGTTCTAGTTAGTCAGCCCCGGTGTTGGCCACAGTGAGGAGGCCAGGTCCTATTGCAGTTCTGTGGGGAAACGGATCTGATAGGCTGAGTGGGTTGTGTGCAGTCATCTCGGGACTGCAGGCTCCTCACAGGCTGGGTCTCTTGTAGAAGCATTGCGATAAGAATGAGAGGAAGAACCAGTCTTCTGCTCAGGGTAGTACAGTTAACCAGTATCCTTAAGCTACTGTAATGAAGCACCATTCATGGGGCGCTTATGACAATGGAATCTTCTTTCCCACAGTTCTGGAAGAACATATGAAATCAAGATGTCAGCAGGAGCACACTCCTTCTAGAACTTTCAGGGCAGCATCGTCCTTGCCTCTTCCAGTTTCAGGCTGTCATTACTTCCACCTCTGCCTCATTCTCTGTCTATTAGACTGTGTGTACGCATCTCCTCTGTGTATGGAGTCCATGGTGCAAGTCTCCAACTCCTGCTCTAGACAGTACAGAAAAAATATCTCATAATCTGTGACTTAACCCCACTATTTCATATCTAAGGTGTGTGTGTGTGTGTGTGTGTGTGTGTGTGTGTGTGTGTGTGTGTATGTGTGTGTCTGTGCACATGCACATGTGCATGCACCACACAGAGCAATAATCGTAGGTTCCAGGAGTTAGGACATGAACACATCTCTAGATCTATGTGAAATGAGACCTCTCAGAAAGCAGATGTGCTGGGCAGTGTTTTGTCAGCCTGACGCAAGCTGGGGTCATCGGGTAAGAGGGAACCTCAGCTAGGAAAATGCCTCCATCAGATCGGCTTATAGCAAGTCTATGGAGGCATTTTCTTAATTGTTGATGTGGGAAGGCCCAGCCCACTGTGGGCAGTGCCATCCCCTAGGCAGGTGGTCCCGGTTGTATAAGAAAGCAGGCTGAGAGCCATAGATAGCAAGCCACTAAGTGGCCTTTCTCCGTGGCCTCTGCTGCATTTCCCACCTCAAGGTTGCTTTGAGCTCCTGCTCTGAATTCCCTTCAGGACGGACTCTGAGCTACAAAGATGACATAAACTCTTCCTTCCTCAAGTTGCTCTTGGTTATGGTGTTCAGACCAATGCTAGACAACCAAACTAGGACCTAAGGCAAAGTCATAACATAACATGGTTTTGGGTAAAAATCCATTCTTATATATG